CATTGTCAAAATAAGAATATATAAACAGCTTTATCTCCACCAAATATGGACAAAATATAATGGGCATTCTTAATATAACCAACTCATTTTGGCGTTAGTACCAACTTTAACCACCTGAATACCAGCAGGTTACACTCATTTCCTTTCCGGGCCAGTTTTTAGTGCAGTGATAGCTTGACAAGTACAGTACTTGCTCATGCAACACTGTACCCAAATGAATCATTTTTTTGAGACAGAAATATCTATCTTATGGCAGTATTCAATAACCACTGAAATTTTTTATTAATTTTTTTTTTTTGCTATATAATGCAAAAACTACTGAGCATTTGCCGTATGTTCTAATTTACCAAAGCAAATGCCAGGACACTACAAATACCTCAAAATGACCCTTTTTTGAAAACTGGACACCCCAAGGCAATCTTAGTTTTTGCCACAATTTTTTGGAAATGAAGAAACATGCTGGTTTTGAGGTGGTTACAGTGCTGTTAGCCTTTATCTCATTTGTTGCCAGAGCAGTTTTTACGTGTATTTTTTTTTTTTTGCACACATGTTTAAAAAATTATTTAGTTATGCAGTTTCCATAAACCCCCAAAACATTATATATTTTCTAAAAGCAGACACCCCAGAAAATAAAGAAGTGGTAGTCCCCATTTTTTAGTCACACGGTATTTCCGCAAATGTCTATTTAATAATTACCCAATTTGTTTGTAAAATATAAAAGATAAGGTTGCACTGAGTAAATAGATACTCAACATGTCAAACCTTAAATTTGCGTGCGCCTGTGAAATGGCGACAAACGTCACCTATGTTTTCTGTAGGTGACACTTTAAAAGCCCCCTATAGGTCATCATTTTAGTGCTACAGAGGAAGTCTGGTGCTAGAACTATTGCTCTTATTTCGGTGTGCGAGGCAATATGTAACATATCACAACTGAAGTTTTCATGCGTGGGTACTCCGGACGAGTGCCTTTATATTCATACATTTGTATATTGGGGCGGGATTGCCTTTACATTCATACATATGCATATGAGGGGGGGTATAAGCTTGGGTGTGCTTGGGTATAACCTAAATTTTTCACAATTAAAGAAACTTTTTTATTACTTAACTTTTTTTTCAATCACATGAATGAAATGCACATTATACTGAATTGATCCACAGAGAGGATCCTGTGCCCTTTGTTCAGGTTCACTGGATTTACCCTTTCTTGGGCTTTACTTTAATAACCACTTGCAGACCGTCCTCCCGCAATGTACTGTGGATGTCCAATCACAGTTCAGAGCCCTGTGTTGACAATCAACACAGGGCTATGTACAGAAGGAACAGTCTTTCTTTTTCTTCTCCCTGCAAAGACATGTAGTAGTATACATTTTGGCCTAAATTTATGAAGAAATGTTTTTTTTTTATTTTTTTTATTGGTTATGTTTTATAGCTGAAAGTTATATATATATACAGTGTATATATATATATATATATATTTATATATATATGTTTAAACTTGTGGTCTTTTTTTGTTTATACAAGGATTGTTATGATAAAATACCACCAAAATAGCCAACAGTTCTATTTGTATGAAAAAAATTATATAAATTTCATTTGGGTACAGCGTTGCATGACTGCTCAATTACCAGTTAAAGTAGCACAGTGATGAATAGCAAAAAATGGCCTGGTCACAAAGGGGGTAAAACCCTCTGGAGCTGAACTGTTTAATTAAATATGATAATAACCATCAGCCTCATCACCACTTCCGCAATGTTGCTATTGTCCATCTCTTGATGAATTCTGCTGGTAACAAACAGGTATAAAAGCAAAAATGTGTCTTAGCAAAAACAAGATACAACTAAGGAAGAAGTAAGGTGAACTTACTAGTTGTTGTTTGAAAAGTTGTTGTTTCAGTGGAGGATGGTTTATCTGTCACAGTGGCTGAAATGGTCAATTAGATAATGAATGATTTACTGTAAGTGTGGAAGGGATAGCTGCAAAAAATGTCCTTAGCAATAACAAAAAAATAACTACTGAAAAAAAGTAAACTGTACTCACTGATAGTTGTCGTTTTGGGAATGGATGGTATTACTGTCATATTGGCTGAAATGAAAAAATAAATAAATTATAACCAATTAGGAAGGTGTAGATGTAAAATGGCTAATCTTGCTACTGGTCCCAAACACTCTGCAAAGAGTTAAAGTGGTTGTAAAGGCTCAAGGTTTTTTACCTTCATGCATTATTGTAGCAGTATTTCTGCTGTAGGGTGTACGGGAATCAGATGGGCAGCGGTTAAAGAATTTGCATTGGTAGAGGGTCAAAATATCAACAAGTTTCTTATAATAGTTTCCAAAGAACCCATCTGGGTTCAGTGCTTTTGACAGGTTTGTGAGTTTAATAGCTAACTTGACTTCCTCTTCCGAAAATTCTGCCTCTAGTAGTTCCTTGTGATCTCTCTTAAGTTGTAGGGTCAACCTAAAAATTTGCATGTCATCACAATTAGTCACAATTACTTACAAAATCTGGAAGTGAAAAAGGTTACTTTTAGGGGTTAGATTTTGGGCTTGTTTAGGGTTAGGGATAAAGGTATCTTAACTGTTATCCATAACAACAATCCATACAAACAAGCCCTCTTGTAAGAAGGTTGAAATGTTAGTTAGTGAGATAGCTGCTGCCCCAGCCAGTTAAGTTGATTTCCTGCACTTTTTGCTGAGCTCTGCCTCTCTCCCTGTGCTGTTAATAAAAAGGGGAGGGCTCTGTCCGGACACTCAGACAGTCTGCATGGTAAGGAAAGGCACAGGTAGGCCACAGCATGTAATTTCCAGCAGCTTACAGAGAGGGCGAAAGGGGAGCACTTCCACCTCGGAGAGACAGAGCCTGTCTGCTGTCACATCCACAATGTAGGGGGATTGCTGGTACTTGCCAGGCTGGAGACTGCCTCACCTGGCACTTGCTTCCATGTGGCCTCAGGTGGGTCGACCTGAGGGCCTGAAGTTAGAGAGAGTGACCCTGGTTCTTCAGTAAGCTGATTGAGGGGAGTTGTCCGCCAAAGCTCTGTCTGGTGTCACTGGATTGTCTCACTTGGATGATTGGAAGGAGACAACCATTCTGTCCTTGTGAGTACTGACACTGAGGAATTTGGGGACACTGTGTGCTTGCTACCTCCCCTGGTGCTTGATAGTCAATGTGGGTCTTGAGCTCAGCCCTATAACTACTATTACTGCTAAAGGGACTTTGCTCACTCCTAAACTACTTGCTGCTATATGTTACAGGAGAAGTCTGCTATCTACTGTCAGCCAAGACTTCGTAACTCATCAAATAAGAGATCAGCTAGATGTCCTCAGTGTGAATAGTTCTGATTTGGAGTATCCTAGTACAATTCCCTGTCCCTATCCCCAGTTCTACAATAAAACAAACATCCCCTAGAATGATCATTGAGGACAACAAGCGGAAGTGTGTGTGAGTGTATTTGGCTGCAGAAATACACTGTGCCTGGCTGCGGGGTGAAGTTAGGGGAAATGGACAACCAGGGGCAGACTGACAACTTATGGGGCCCCTGGGCAATAGGGGATCATGGGGCCCCTGTGTCCTCACCCACACTCAAACCACACACAAAAAAGCCTATGAAAGGTACCAGGGACATCTCATGGGGCCCCCTACTGACCCAGGGCCCTCGGGCAGTGCCCGTGTTCCCAAATGGTCAGTCCGCCCCTGTGGACAACATTCAAGCAGCTCCTTTGGGGGTAGCGCTACACATGTGACACGTGGGGGATCTGTTGAAGAGAAGACTGTGATATCTGGATTATGGATATGGATCATATTTAAGGACTTTTTTTCATCATTTGGGACTTATTTATTTAAGAGACAGTGTTTTAGCTGAGAAGCATTATTATTTGAATCATATCATCCCAGTATATCCACCCAAACTCCTGTGAGTACGTAGCGGGGGCTGAATTGGTTTAATTGAAAAGCAATCATTTATTATATTGATGCTTAACAATTTTAAGATGTGATTTGTGATGTAATGTGATGTGGCTGCATTGCCTTCCTTCTTTAGGCTGTGTTTCTTTTATTTCACCTTTCAACAGAAAAAGCTCTCTTGAAGTTACAGGGATGAGACAATCCATTTAACACTGACATGGGTGCTTAAAATGCTCAGGTTTTATTTATTTATTTATGTAAATAATTTTCCCCAAAATGAAAATAGCTGTTGCTGTAACTGCTTACAAAAATGTTACCTGGAGTTTACTCACTTAAACTCCTTTCCCCCAGACTAACAATGCTGCTGTCCAAAGGTGCCCTCTGTGCTCATTTATCCAGAGGGGAGGCACTCTAATACAGTAGGTGTGCTATTGGCCAGGTCACCAAGGGAAACAGAGGGGAAAAAACAAAAAAAAGAAAACCACGGCAGCCACCACATCTAATGATTGGTAAACTAAAATATATTACATTTTTGGTGTTGGGTTTGCTACTGCTTTACATTTGAATTAACCTCCCTGGCGTTATGATTATTTCAGATTTTTGGTGATGAAAGCAGTACCATTATTTTGCATGGAAATTTGGCATTTTATATTGTAGGCCTGTAATTTTTAGGAATAACTCACTGAAATCTGTCCGAACAAGAGTCTAGTAAACATCCCGGGTAGGATAAAACTTGAAAAACGAAATCATAAATTATAATTTAATAAATAATCATAAAAAATAATAATATAATAATAATAAATTTAATTGAATAATATAATCAAACCAAAAACACTGAAATTTGAAATATAGCACCAAGTTCGCACATCACTGAGCAAAGTCGCAAAATCGTTTTCAGTGTCTGATGACCAATTTCCCCACGAATCATTATCACTCAATTCTGCAAGTGGTTCTGATTTATTATCGCTGTTCTCTAGCTGGTATAAAACCGTTTTTGACCTAAAGGGACGCTTTTTGGACGCCATGGATGTTTCTCAGTTTCCAGGCAGAAAGAACAGTCAAAATGCAGGCAGGGCACAGGACAAAGCACTAGGAACACAATGTATGTGAAATGGTTTGGTACAGTAATGTTTTACTATGTGATTTTAGTGATTTTAGTGAATGTCACTTTTTGTCATTTTCAAATTTCCTGCCGTTCCGTCCCCCGTACGTCCCGACGCTCGCAGGGGACGGAACCCAGATGACAGATGCCGGCATCCGCCGGATTACATTGCCGGGGACACTGCAGGAGGGACATCGCGGGAGCGCAGGACAAGGTAAGTGATCGAGGGATCCCGGAGCAGCGCCGCATGGTTTTCCCGAGTGTAGCTCAGGGTTACCGCTTGTGGTACTGAAACTTTACCCCGAGCTACACTCGTGAATACCGCCAGGGAGGTTAAATGTTTATTTGGAAAACAAATATTATATACAGTGCATATAGTAGAAACACAGATATAAACTATCAGTTTTAAAATTCATAAGGCCAATGCCACACAGAACGGGACCTCCTGTCCATTTACACCCAACTGCCATCCGATCTGTTCTGCCAGATGAATGGGGAACATATCTCCATTCGTAAATTTTTAGCAGATAGGATCGGATCAGATGTAGGTGGGTGTAAATGGACACCCGCAACTCCTTAGAAGAGACTGGATGGTTCAATCAGATCTGCCTGAAAAACAGACAGGCCAATCGGATGGATACACTAGTGTGAAAGGGGCCTAAGCCTTATTAACAAAAAAAAAAATTAAACTGCACTTTTACTGTTATAATTTTTATTTAGTTTCCCTAAAGAGTGGATCTTTAAAGCGGAGCTCCACCCAACAGGAGACGTTCTGCTTTAAGGCCTTTCCCCCCGCTCCCCATTAAGGATTGGTACCTTTTGGGAGTGTGGGGATACCCAAATTTGACAGGTACCCGCTCCCATTTCTCGCCTAGGCAGTAATTATTTTTTACCTTTTTTTTTGTTTTTGTAAATTAGGTGCATATCATTTTAAGGGGGCCAAACTGCCAGAAAAGTGTTGTGGACCCGTAGTCTTCTGGGACACGTGACAGGTCCCAAAAGATTTCAGGACCATTCACAAGGTGCAGCGCTACTCATGCATGCACAGTGGGCACCCGGCGATGAAGATGCCAGTGCTGGGGAAAGAGGACAGCAGGTGAAACCGGCTGTGGTGAGGACATCGCTGGATCGAGGGACAGGTGAGTGTCTGTTTTTTTAAAAGTCAGCAGCTACAGTTTTTGTAGCTACTGACTTTTATTTGTTTAGATTTTGACTGGAGCTCTGCTTTTAGCCAACTATGTTAAACCATATGCACCTATCTTACTACTTCTTAAGGGCCACCAGCCTTTTTAATAATTTATGATGTATTATGCCCCAGATTATTCTGTAGTTATAAAGCCTATGCTTTTGTGCATAGTGTTGCATCCAAATAAGGGAGAGAGGGCTGGAAAACTCCACAATTTCCTTGAATTATCTCATCATTCTCAGTATCATTTTGATGGATTTTAACCATAAGGAAACCATATTTGTAAAATATAACATATATTGGACTAATACAAACAGTTAAACTGCTATAGGGAAGCTTCCTTGCCATTGTATTGAATGATTGTTTTTAGCATTCAGTGAATTAATCAATTGTATGGAATGGAATGATTTTGATAAATTCAATGCAGGTATGGCCAGTGTTACAATTTAAAGCCACCCATTGTGTGTCAAGCTTCATTCACTTGGCTGCCTCAGCCATGGAATTGCTTGGAAAAGTGAGCACTCAGAACAAGAATATAACTTTTTAATAGAAAGACACTACTTACCACAACGTAAATTCTCATCAATTCTTGGCCTTGCAAATTTCCACAACTCTTTCGTCCAGCTGAGTAGATTGCCTTCAGAGCAAACATACAGATCATTAGGTGATTTTGCATAGTTCCACATATTGAAGTTGTATAATTCTCCAATAAAGTTTGTACTGCTTATCAAACTGATATTGCCTGCCTTCCTGAAATGGTTAGAACCTAACACCAGACTTCCTCTGCCTTTCAGTGGATCATTACTAGTCATAATATTAAAGACACGTATCCCATTTACATATGCCTCCAGCTGTCCTGTGTTGTTCTTTCGGATTAAACATATTGTATACCAGGTATATAGTTCCAGTTCTTGATTAAATTCATAATGGACTCCCAGGTGAAAGATTTGAATGATATCTAAACCCAAGAAATTCAAGCCAAGTTCAGCAGGCCGTACTCCATCTTCAACACAGTATGAGAATGCAGTCCAGAGAGTTTTGGTTGTGCAATATAGGTCTAGGCACACAGTGAAATCTAACAATTGAGGAATATTTGTATCTTGCAATTGTCCTATATTATTAAGTGACAGAATTTCTGCTTTTTGGTTTGGAAGTAATTCTTTATCTGCAAATAAACAAAAGAAAAAGATTTATAGAGAACATTGACACACTCAAAAAACCAACACCACACCTCTTACCATGCTATCATCTGCTGCATATGTTCATGTAGTGGTAGCAGGCATTTTATATACATATACTGTTGTTGTGCAATGAAAAATTAGGAATATAAACTTTGTGCTATCAGGATGGCTGTCTCTGGTGTGCTCAGACAAAAGAATTAATTTAACAAGTAGTGGCGCCACTAGGGTTGGTGTCACCTGGTGCAGTAAAACGTCCCCCTCCCAAATATTTTGTTTCCTTTTTTCTGAAAGTGCGCCAAAGATGCAGCACATGGGACTTTTTTTGTGCTTTCATAAAATGCTGAAAAAAATGCAAAACCGAATAGAAATCTATAGGACTGCAGCTATAACTGCAGGTAAAATGCAGGAAAACCTCCTTTACATTACACAACCCTGCACCTCTGGACCCCTTTACATTACACAGCAACTGCACCTCTGACCCCTTTACATTACACAGCAACTGCACCTCTGACCCCTTTACATTATGTAGCACCCTCCTAGTTAGGTGCTAGGATTAGAGTTGCCACCTTATGCCTTTAAAATCGAACACATATTCATTATACATATAGGCTAATTTAATGTAGATAAGGCACTAGTTGAATTACCACCTTAATAAGCCACAGAACCTGTGTAATTAATATGTGTTCGGTTTTAAAGTAATGAGGTGACAACTCTAGCTAGGATGAATATAGTTAGGTTAAGCATAGCTGTGTTTCTCTGCTTACCAGAGACGCTGCCAGATAAATTCAGTGTGGTAATCTGCTTAACAGAGTGCTGTGATTGATTGATTGATTGATTGATTGATTGATTGATTGATTAGGTCTGCTCATGCTGCTCTGGTGCTGTTGGAGTTTGTCTGAGTTCTGCCCACCTTCAGGAAGCTATGAGGGCCTTCCAGGATATTGGGTAGGGGCTAGGCAAATGCATAGCATGAATACAGCCCTGGCCAATTGCAATGGAAGATAGTCATTATGTACAATTGTGTTGCTAGCTGTGATTGGTCACAGTGATCACATGGTACAGACAGGGCCAATTACAGCCCATCTGTACCATGTGATTAGCTGTGGCCAATCACAACAATACTTACTTAATGAATTGATTTCATTTAGTAAAATGTTTGCTTATAGCAATAAAATTCACTGCTATAAGCAATCATATGTGTAAAAAAAAAAAATCCTGATCACTTCTCCATAGTGGCACAATGTTACTATGGTAACACTGTCTTGCTCTGATCACAGTTTGTTAAAAAAAAAAATGTAAATAAAACAAAAAAAAAGTAATAAAAAATGTTAAAAATGTAAAGTATTGAAAAAAATGCTTTATTTTTTTTCATACTGTCACCAGTCAGTGTCCCTGATCACCGCCACACCAGTTATATGATGATGCTGTACTGCACTGGTGACAGCATGTAAAAAAAGAAAGTGAAAAAATGTTTTAGAAGGACAGATACATCTTTGTTCAGGCCTAATCCAGGGTCAACATTTACATTCTGGTTTGAGATGCTGGCTCAAAGATAATCAAATCATATAAATACTGGTGCCTTTCCGTTTTGTCTGTGTTTACAAATGTGGGAAAATCCTTGCAGCAGCTTCTCAGTTGTAACTACAATATCACAGTGCTGCAGACTAGGGAAGGAGAAACTGAGGAAATACAGCCTTCTGCCTGCACCAGACTGGTGGCATCATCTCAGATTAAAAAGCAAACAAATCAGCACAAGGAACATAACTTACAGTTCTGGAATGTGTCCCTTGTGTTGACACTTCTTGTAAGAGGTGAAATACTCTTCCATCCATCACCCCACCATCCCCAAGAATCTACAGGTTTGGTGAGGATTAATTGAACTAATGGGTTGTCACAGCCTCTCGTCAAGAGTGCTCAACTACACCCGTCTTTTCCATCCAATCACCACCATTCATAGAATCCATTACTACAGCTTCTATGAATGGAGAGAGATCTATAAGTCAGAATTATTAAAAGGTCCACCCCCTGCATGTCATAGATCACATTTCATTCATAGAACCCATAACAGAAGATGCATCAGCACAAGGGACACATCCTATTGATTGTACGTTATGTCCCTTGTGCTGATTTTTGTTTTTGTTTTTTTTTTTGGCTGTACATAGGCTTTAATTATGCAGTTACATTACTGAAAGGCTTATATTAAACAGAGAAAAAATATAATTAAACATAAGCAGTGTAAACATTTTTGCCAGACTCACAAAATACCAAATGTTATGGATATTATATAGTTGCATCATTTTTGCCTGCTTTGTGTAAGTTGCATAAACACATGCAGGTGAATGCAATCAGTGGGTACAGGTGCCTTTTTTCTTTGCATATTTAAAAAGAAAAGAAAGATACATTGGTGGATCTGAACTTGGCATATTATGGAAGATTGGTGGACTGCTAGCAGAGTATGTTTGTCGTTACATCTCTGTTAATTTAGTAGCTGATTTAGATCAAATAGTACTTAGATGAGATTTTGTTATGAGAAGAATCATAAGAAAGTAACCCATAATGCATAAAATGCATTATAGGTTGGCAATATTCTCTGGTCTCTTCCTCTGTCCATGGACAATTAGCCTGCAGGTGACAAATATGTGGTTGTGCTTCATAATCATTACAGGGAATTTTAGAATAGATGTGGTTTCACATTATGTGAGAATGTTAGACTGTCTGCAAACATCACAACAAAGAACACCAAACGGTCTGCTGATGCTGATTAATACATACAACACAATAGCTAAATTCTATGGCTACCTATGGATGAAAGATAACTATCAATTGGTTGATCGAATGTTGATTACTTATTAAATAAACACCTAAATATTCTGCAGGGACTACAGCTTAGCTAAAGCACACACAGGGGGTGGATTTGCTCCAAGGCCTATAAGGTCGGGGGCCCAAACAGAACTTTTATTCTCCCTTAT